GATTAAGCCTCCTTGAGAAATGTTTCATTCACACGGGTCATGCACTTCCGAGAGACTTGCTCCTTGGAGGGGACGGGTGCTTCGTGTCCAGCTACACTCCAACCTGAAGCTGCACATCCACTCAGGTCCAAGTACCTGCACTTGGATGCAGCCAGTGTGCGTTCCTGTGCGCATGTGCAGGTTGGGCTCCGCATGTAGCCACGTGCAAACCCTTCTCCTCCCATAGGGAGGTACGTGTAGTACCTGTCACTCTCGGGAGCAGGTCTCTGCCCCGGTGGGCAGGCCCCTGCCAATGAGCCCTTAGCAATTCCGGCCTTCCAGTTGTGCTTTAACTACAAATCCCATGATGCCTTTGCCTCTGGTAAACATGCCTGTGGCTGTCGGAGTCTTGCAATGCCTCATGGGGCTTGTAGTTCCACCACAGCTGGAGGGCCGGAGTTGCCCACAGCAATTTTTTTTTTTGTAACAAACAGCCCCGTGAGTCCAGTATTACAGACTGTGTGGAAAAGCAGCATTATTGCCTTAACCTCCTGTGACCACCATCACCTCGTTAAAATAATTGTTGCGTATTTCACTGTCGATTATGTTGAAAAAAAACAAAAAAACACTACTTTTTGTAAAAAAAAAAAAAATGTTGTCCTTGTTAGTATGTCAGCACGGCCGCACGCAGCTGCTTCTCCTTCCGGAAAAAAAAGCAGAATTCAGCGCTGAATAATTTTTTTTGTTTTTATGAGTAAACTAGTTTACATTTTTTCTGCAGCATCGGAGCCGTACCCGTTTTCCGTCAGCCTAACTCAAAAGCAAGAACGGTCTCTTTTTTTTTTTTTTCCTTTCCTTCTCTGCCTGAGCAGATTTTTTGAGCACTTATCGATGTTCTTTTTGCAATACTCGACGCTGCTTGGCGTCGTCGAGATGAAAAAAAACTCCAAAAATGGACTGATTGTATGTGGTGTACGAGGACGCGAGAAAACACATTTTTTTGACGTAGAAAAAAGAAAAAAAAAGACGGCGCATTGATTTTGGGCTAGAACAAGTTTGATGTATGTGATGTCCGACCTTCTGCGTCTCTCGTCCTTTTTTTTTGTCAGTGTTACCTTCATTTCTGTTTTTTTGTTTTGCCCTCTCGGCTGCTTCTGAAAAAAAAAGTGGGAGATTAAAAAACATTTTTTTTGAAATTTGCAATATTTACCTTTACTATTTTCCGTTTTTTCTGCGGCATCGGAGCCGTACCCGTTTTCCGTCAGCCTAACTCAAAAGCAAGAACGGTCTCTTTTTTTTTTTTTTCCTTTCCTTCTCTGCCTGAGCAGATTTTTTGAGCACTTATCGATGTTCTTTTTGCAATACTCGACGCTGCTTGGCGTCGTCGAGATGAAAAAAAACTCCAAAAATGGACTGATTGTATGTGGTGTACGAGGACGCGAGAAAACACATTTTTTTGACGTAGAAAAAAGAAAAAAAAAGACGGCGCATTGATTTTGGGCTAGAACAAGTTTGATGTATGTGATGTCCGACCTTCTGCGTCTCTCGTCCTTTTTTTTTGTCAGTGTTACCTTCATTTCTGTTTTTTTGTTTTGCCCTCTCGGCTGCTTCTGAAAAAAAAAGTGGGAGATTAAAAAACATTTTTTTTGAAATTTGCAATATTTACCTTTTTCTGATT